TACATTAAGCATCCTTATAACCAGTGTTTTGAACTCTGCATCTGGTAGACTGCTTTTCTTCATTTCGTTGAGTTCTTTTTCTGGAGTTTTGTTTGCTTATTTCTATACATGAGGTAGGTTTGCTACATCTCCCAGGCATGGCAGAGTGGCTTTATGTAGTAAAGGTGCCTTGTAGAGACCAGTGGTGCAGTTTACCTGGTCACCTGAGCTGAGTGCTTCGGGGATATGTAGGTTGTGTGTACACTCCTGTTGTAGTGGAGCCTTGATTGCTGTTGGCACATCAGTGGGTAGGACTGACCCTAAGGCTGACTTGCTGTGAAGGCTGACTGTGACCACATGGGGTTAGCTGTTGGGCAGGAACTGATTTCACAGAGTGGAAGTCTTCTTAGTGGAACTCAGGTGCCAGCTAAGTTTGACCTTCACATGTGTCTTTCTGGAGCTGTTTGAGTTGTGCCCTGGTGTGGTATTAAGCCAGCCACCAGGTTTGATAATTCTGGAGCCTCTCAGGAGGGGCTCTGATGCAGACCAAGGTCATCTTCCATTTGTTCCCATCCTGAGACCACCTAGTCGTAGCTACAAAGTGATCTGTAGTTTGTTGCCCTTTGTGCTCCACTTGGAGGTTCTTGGGAAAAGCTATGCTGTGAACTAAGGCCAGCTACCACTAGAGCCTTATGACCCTTGGGACACTTCAGGGGACACTACGATGTGAGCTGAGGCCAGCTGCCACTTGTGTTGGGATTTTGGCTGCTTGGTTGAAGCTACATTCCAAGCCATCATTTGCCACAGCTTATGCCAGGCTTGGGACCATCTGAAGGGAGTTACAATGAAAGTTGAGACAAGGCACAGCTTGTGCCAGACTTGGGGCTCCTTAGCAATAGATACAGGGCACCAATACTAGTCACTGATCATTTGGGGTTTGTGGACCTTTCAGAGATTTTAGGAAAGTGCACAGTGTGAATTAAGACTGGCCACTTGTGTGGAAAACCTGCTGGAAGCAATTGGTCCATGTGCGAACTGGTTAGGGCAATATCGCAGGGAATCACCAGTGTGGTATAAACTGTGTTATCCAGGTAAATGGATACCTCAGATTTGGCGCCCACTTGTGCCTGCTGGCTGGGTCAGGGCAGGGCTCATCAAAAAAGCCAATGACACCTGCCCCTGCTTCCCATCTCCAGAGAGAGCCACCCTGACCACTGGCCTTCCAGCCCTAGCCCTGAGGCTAGTCAGTTCAGCTCCTCCCTGTATATACATACCTGGAGCTTTTCAATCTGCTGTTCCTGCAAAATTACAGCAAGTGAGTTTGTGAGTGACTGAGTCCTAATGCGGACCCCTCAAGAGGAACACCTGGTACTCACTCCAGCAGCCCTCCTCTCACTCATCTGTAATACCTTCTGTTTTTCACAGCCAGATGTTGTGGGAACTCCTCTTCCAGGCACCGGTACCTAGAGCTGGGGAGCTGAGGATGGGGCTCGGATTCCTCACTCCTCAGGGATGGACCTCAGCAGCCAAGATAGTTATCCGAATTGCTAATCACCTCACTGTAGGTGTGGAACCTGTCCATTTTGCATCTCTGCCCCTCCTACCAGTCTCATCGTGGCTTCTTCTTTGTATCCTCAGTTATAAGACTTCTGTTCAGCTATTCTTCAGATGGTTTTCAATGATGGTTGCTCTGTAATTTAGTTGTAAGTGTGACATGGGAGGAGGCAAGCATAACTTTACTTAGTCCCCATCTTGACTGCAAGTCAGACTGCTTCTTCTAAGAGGATTACAGTTGGACCTTCCCTTCTAATATTTTTTCCTTTGGGTTTCTCCACATTTTCCTGATAGGAAACCATACAGGAAAAGAAGGGAGATTTCATGCAGCAGAACAAAGAGGCATCTACAAAATATTGCCAGGCTCAGCTTAAGCAGCTCCTCGAGCCCTTGATGAAAGATATTTCGAAAGGGACTTTCTCTGTGCCTGGAGGACACAAACTCTACTTAGAAGAAATGGACAAGGTTGAACAATCTTATAAGCTGGTACCCAGTAAAGGAGTTAAGGTGAGGAACAAAAAAAGGAAGGAAGAACATCAGATTAGGGTCAGAGGGTCTTTTGAAAATCTAAGACCACAGCACTATTTGTGGAGAGAAAGCAGGGCATGATGATGGCTCTACACTTTCAGGTTTTATATCCACAGTTAGTTAGCCACTCTTCAATAAACTAGAAATGTTTCTTCCCAAATATAGGATTTATTATCAAAAATCTTGATGAAGAGGACATTCCTTTCACTAAGCAATGTAACAGGCTTTGTGCTACATATAGGGGGATATGTAATTAAAGAAGCAACTTTCTCTAAAAGCTTATTATCTTACCAAAAAAAAGCCATATAAATGGGCAATTAGATATGGTGGGGTAATGATTATCATACAAGTATACAATATTGATGATGGTGATGATGATGGCAGCTAGCATATATTGAGCACTCATTTTTTATTGTAGGTATCACCTTAGGTTTTGTGTTTAGATTATTAATTTAATCCTTAGAATAATATGAATTATGTACTGTCATCCACATTATACAATTGAGAAATGTGATGCACTGAAAATCTATTAAGTTGCCTAAGAGAAAACAGCCAGCAAGTGGTAGGGCAGCTCTGTGTACCAGGCAGCCACTTAAAACTCAGCAAGATGTTTAGTGAAGCTTCATGGACAAGGAGGTAGTCACTAAAGTAAAAGTATCAATAATTGATATCTAGTAACAAAAGAGTAGACAAGCATCTAGTCAGAAGAAAAAGAATGTGCCAATATTGCAAAAAATGGAGGATTGGTATTTATAGAACTGCGCATAAATCCAGTTGTCTATAACCCAGTGCGGATGGTAGGCGGCATCTGTAGTATAGGAAGCTGGAGGGCTAGGAAAGAGGTTGCTGTAGAGGGTTTTCATGTCTAACTAAGGGGCTTGGACTCTTATTATGGCCATAGAAGGAAAGAAACAACACAGTGAAAATCCCAAAAAGAATGAAGAATTTACAGGATCTGATTTGAAGTTTTCTTGGACAATGATTTCCACAGCAAAAGACTTGATCTTTGTTGTCTTACAAGCCTTTGCTCCTTCTTGTTTCCTCAGGCAGATGAGGTTCTCCAGAGCTCCCTGAAGTCACTGGCTGCAACAGAGGAATCCATCCTGCAGGCAGAGAGCGCCTTCAGTGCTGCAGAGAAGAAAGTAGCAGGTACAGGACAGGGCTTGGCTCACAGAAAGGAGAGGTTCTTGCAGGGCCTTTTAACAGCTGTGAGAACAAAAACCTCTTGNGTTTCTGGTGTGTCACATTAATTGATTTGCAGATATTAAACCAAACTTTCATCCCAGGAATATAATCATGGCATATGATCTTTTCAATGTATTGCTGAATTTTGTTTACTAAGAGTTGTTGAGACTGTTTCCATCTATGTTCACCAGGGATATTAGCCCATAATTTTCTATTTTTGTAGTGTTTTGTCTGGTTTGGTATCAGTGTAATATGGGACTTTTAAAAAGAGTTTGGGATTCTTTACTCCTCTTCAGTTTCTTGGAATAACTTGAGAAGGAAAGGTAATACTTCTTTTAATGTTTGGTGAAATTCACCTGTGAAGCCATCTGGTACAGGGCTTTCTTAGTTGGGAACTTTTGATTACTGAATCAATTTTATTAGCAGTTATCAATCTGTTCATATTTTGTTATTTCTTCCTGATTCGGCTTTGGAACATTGTATATTTGTAGGAATTTCTTCCAGGTTGTCCAAATTGTTGGTATATAATGATTCACAGTATTTCCTTATAATCTTTGTATTTCTGTGGCATCAAGTGTCAGTTCTCTGGTTTTGTTTCTGATTTTATTTATTTGGGTGCCATCTCTTATTTTTCTTGTTGTCCTGGCTGAAAGTTTATAAAGTCTGTTTACCTTCTCAAAGAACCTGCTCTTGGTTTCACTGATGTTTTCTATACTGTTTTCAGTCTCTATTTTATTTATTTCCATCCTGATCTTTATTATTTCTTTCCTTTTACTCACTTTGTGCTTTTGTAGATCTTTATAATTCCTTTTGGTGTACAATTAGATCATTTATTTGAGATTTTACCTGTTTCTTGAGGTAGGCCTGTATTGGTATAAACTTCCTTCTTAGAACTGTTTTGGTCATGTCCAATAGACTTTGGGCCACTGTGTTTCTATTTTCATTTATCTTGAAGTATCTTTTGATATCTTCCTTTATATCATTGTTAACCAATTCATTGTTTAGTAGTATGTTATTTAGTTTCCATGTGTTTAGTTTTTTTCAGCTTTCTTCTTGTAATTCATTTCTAGATTCATACCATTGTGATCAGAGAAGATGCTTGGTATGAATTCAGTCTTTTTAAATTTATTGAGACTTGTTTTGTGGCCTAACATGTGGTCTATGGTGGAAAATGTTCCATGTGCACTTGAAAAAAAAACGTATATTCTACTGCTTTTAGGAGAAATGTTCTACAAATACCAATTAAGTTCACCTCTCTAAAGTATTATTTAAAGCCTTTGTTTCTTTGTTCATTTTCTGTCTGGATTTTTTATCTATTGATGTAATGGGGTGTTAAAGTCCCTTACTATGACAATATTACCATTGATCTCACCCATTATTTCATCAGTTTTTGCTTTATATGGTTAGGTGTTCCTATACTGGTTGTGTAACTGTTCATGAAAGCTAATCCTCTGGTTGAATTGATTCCTTTATATTATGAAAGCTTTCCTTATCTCTTGTTATAAAGCTTATTTTGTCTGAAATAAGTATTACTACCCCAGTCTTTTATTTATCTGCATTTTCATGAAACGTCTGTTTCCATCTCTTTACTTGCAGTCTCTGTGTGTCTTTCAATTTCAAGTGGGTCTGTTGTAGGCAGCACATGTAGGGGTCTTATGTTTGTATCCATTCAGCGACCTTAGGCCTTTTCATTGGAGCATTTAGTCCATTTACATTTAAAGTAATTGTTGATGAGCATTTAGATATTGCCATTTTATTAATTGCTTTCTGATTGCTTTTGTAGTTCTTCTCTGTTCAATTCTTATTCTCTTGCTCTCTTCTCTTGTATGTTGATAACTTTCTACAGTGTTGTCTTTGGATTCTTTTCTCTTTAATTCTTGTATATCTTGGAGATTTTTGGTTTGTGGTTACCATGTGGCTCATATATACCAGACTATGTTTATAGCAGTTTTTTTTAAGTTAATAGTCACTTAAGTTTGAACACATTCCAAAATCACTACAATATTTACTCATCCCTTCCAAGTTTAGGTTTTTTTCAGTTTTTTATTTCCTTTTTGTATATGTGTTTACATGTATTTCTTAATATGTTGTTATAATTACACATGATCTTCCTACTTTTACTTTTAAACATTGTGCTAGCTTTATACTAGGTTATTCCACTGGTTTTACTGTTTGCCTTTGTCGGTGAGAATGATTACTTTCCTATATTTTCTAATTCATATTTTTTATCTTTTCTACTTAAAAAATCCTTAACATTCCTTATAGTACTGGTTTGGTGGTGATAAACTTCTTTAGCTTTTTCTTGTCTGGGAAATGCTTTATGTCTCTTTTAATTTGAAATGAAAGCCTTGCTGGGTAGAGTAATATTGGTTGTAGGTCTTTGCTTTTCATCAGTTTGACTATTTCATGCTGACCACTTCTGGCCTGCAAAGTTTCTGTTGAGAAATCAGCTGATAGTCTAAGGGGAGCGTCTTGTAGGTAACTGCTTTTCTCTGGCTATTTTAAGGTTGTCTCTTTGTCTCTTACTTTTGGCTTTCTTTTTTTTTTTTCCCAGGCAACAGAATTTTATGGTCTTATTAAAATACAATTTGCACACAAGCTGTCTATTCATTTTCTTCACTGTGCAGCACGGTATTGGGATTGGTGACTCTGATGGCCAGCTGGGCTGCTCTTTCCACAATGGCTTTGTGGTTCTTTGAGAAGACATTGTGAGCAATGTCAGCACAATAAGATTTGTTGAACTTCAAGATCCTTGACATTGTGGACCAGGAACTTCTGAAAGCCACGGACTAAGCAGCATGTGCTTTGTTTTCTTGTAAATTCCATAATCAATATTGGGCATTAAGATCTGGCCCTTGAATCTTCTGTGCACCCTATTGTCAATGCTTCTGGATTTCCAACAATTATGCATAATTTGGAGATATCAGTCTGACTGGGTGCAGGATAAACTTCTTGATCCTCTTTTTGAAGATTTTGGGCTTCATGAGTGGTTTGAGGACACCCATGATACTGAGTAGGAAATGAGTGCCAACTCTGTAGGCAGCGCAGAGGAAGAGCTTACCTTTGGTTTTAATTATGTTGTGTCTTGTGTTCTTTAGATTCATCTTGTTTGAGACTCTCTGCACTTCTTGTGCTTGTATGTCTGTTTCATTTGCCAGGTTAGGGAAGTTTTCAGTTATTGTTTCTTCAAATAAGTTCTCAATCCCTTGCTTTCTGTCTCCTCCTCCTGGTCCCCCTA